TTTAGGTCATTACTATGTAGAGGAGTTGAAAAGATATGGCCTTGTATTTTTAAAACTAAAAAGCATACCAGTGGAATGCTCTCCCACTGGAATACCTGCTTTCTTTCTACATACACTACACAGGAGAGAAAGATACTATATGGGTTTTAAACAACAGTATCAATTTAAGCTATAGTGACTAGCGAGGACAAATTTGTAACGTAAGGAATGCACAGCTACATTTTAGAGGAGAAATCTGTTGCATTAAACAAGAGATGATCACCAAAATACTGAGGAAATACGATAATGAAGGCAACACTGGATTTGGAACACAAAATGAGATTCATCTGACCAAGTGCAAATCTTTAACCTTGATCTAAGTCACTCTAGGAGTATTTCGTGAGCAAAAAAAAAAAAAAAAAAACCAAAAAAAAACACATAGCTTTTAAGGTGCAATTAACTTAATCAACGTCTGCCTAAATATAATCTATTTTTCTATGCTGTCTATTATGGGAAGACAGAGAACTAGATCTGCTACAGATGTGTACTTTATAAAACTCAAAATCTGGGCAAGATGTCAGACTATGAGTGATGGAAGCTAAAATGCTATGAATTTACTCTTCCTGGCTAAATCCTCTATGCTATCAGTACACCATTTGGCACAGATGACATGAAAGAGAATCACTAGGTGGACTGCTCTTGCAGTCCAATTCTGCACCAAGTCTAATGCCAAAAAACATTGTAAATTCAAGATTCTATTTCCCAAATGTGTGTCTCCTAATCGATGTATTGCCTAAGTGCACACAAAATAGAAAAAGAAAGAAAAGATTACATCCATCTTAAGAATGTATATGGTTAATATGAAAGCTTTTCCTTGGCAATTATAAAAGAATAATAAGAAAACACAAGAAGTATCTATGATACTATTTTCAAGTGTTAATATGATTCCAGTTGTGCACTGTTTGTTGTATATGTTGCATGACCAAAAATACTCATTCAGGCCAGACTCTTCCTAAATAATATCAACACTGTAGATCCAAACCTGCGCAGTGCAGGAATTAAAAGGGTAAAAAAAGAAGATTAGACTTACATGAAAAAAGTGTAGAGATTACCAGACTTCAATTTAAATTACCTCTTCTGAAAACTACAAAGGATCCCACAATGCAAAAATCACACAGCTAGTGACTTAAAAGAATAATGAACAAAAAAAATCACAATGTTCTGATTTTTCATTCTGAAAGCATGATCAATTCTCAAGGAAATACATAAAGTGATGGACGGGGAAAATGAAGGAAATGGTTGACCAACTTATGCATTTTCCACTGTAATCCACCAGTACTGGACAGTAAGTAGAAAATAAAAAAGTCATACTTAATTTCCCTCCTAATATCAGATGACTTTCTCAATGCTTTATAGTCTGAAAAAAAAAATTAAAAGTAATGGTGACAAAAAAAAAGATTATATTAAATTACTATACTGTGCTGGGACAATCTTGGTCTATTAAGATAAATTGGCTATCTGTTTCAAAGAATTATTTGGACTGCACAGACTAAAAGGCATAAAGAAAAATTGTAACACTGTCACAGCATAATGGTCTCTCCTGCTAGACAGATATTAAGAGAGAAAAACGGTTACTGAAAAATGAATGCTGAGATGACATTACTACACTTATATTCAATGTGGGAGGCAATTAGACTACAAAAATGTTCTATTCTGTTATTTCTATTATATCAGAGAATGATAAAATAAATAAAGATGAAAATGGATGATTACCAGTGGCAGCTATTCAGTATGGCACCTGGGAGAACAGTTTTATTTATCCAGATTTTGTATAGTGACAGTCAAATTGGTAACAATCAGGAAACCTAAAAATCTGAAGTACAGTTTCAAGGTATTGTGGTTATTTATTTTTTAAAATAAAAAAGCTGTATTGCTTAACAAAGCAATCCATTTATTAGTTTTATAGAACTTCTAATAAACTTTGTCCAAAGATTTTTAGAAGGGTTCTCTACACTTTCTGGCACTACATATATTCCAGCTGAAGCACCACCACTCTGCCTAATTTTTAGAGATGCAGAAGGCACTCATTGCAGAGGTGTTGCTTTTGACTTCACCACTTTTGAGGTCAGTATATACTACTGATAAAAATAACAAGCAAACAAAAAAAAAAAACACAACTTTATGACAGCAATTTTCAGATAACCTCAACTCCAGTTCACAAAATTCAAAAAAGTGAGCAGTTTAGCCTATGACAAAAAGTGAGAAGAAATTCTTTTGAAAACTTGACCTTACTTGGAATCAGAATCTCCCTCCTTGGAGATCTTCCAAACCAGATGGATATGGTCCTGGGCAGTTTGTACTGGATGGCCTTGCTTGAGCAGGGGTTGGGCCAGATGGACCCAGAGGGGTCAGTGCTGAATCACTGGTGAGTTACAGTTTTGTATCACATCTGCAACAACTCTCCAGTTTCTAAACTTTGCCTTATCCAGGGAGCAGCGCTAACCACACAGCTATTCAGGAGCTTTCTGACGTGGTTAAGTGCATTGATTAATAGAGTGCATGAAGAAACATCCAGCTTGCATTAAGAAAGTTCAGTCTTAAAAGACACAACTATATCCAGAAAATAATAGATAGGAAACACATTAAACAAAAATGAAACACAAAAAACATGATATCCAATTTTATACTACCAGTATTTACAATGTAACCTTAGCTAATCTTGAAATTACACAAACTCTTCATTTAGTAAACTCTTTTTACACTCAATTCTGTCACAGTCAATGCAACAGAAACCAGTAAAACACGGCTGTCTAATGGAGTGTCATTTATGCAAAACACACTATACAATAACAGATTCTTGACTACTGCAGATTGATTTTTTTTCATTCCTTCCACATGTCAATGTGTCACAGAGGGTAATTCCTTTGATATTAATAGTAATGAAGATGCATTGTACCTGACAGCCCTAACAACATGTTTAATACAACGTTTTAACTTTCAAGAAGATGAAGAATCTGAAGGGAACACTTTTGCATTCCACTCTTTCAGAGCATAGTTCACTGTAACTTTTAAGGAGGGTAATTTCATTTATTTCCACGTTGATACTATTTCTATTTAATTTGACAGTTTTACTTAGGAAAGATAACATTCTGACATACTGCAAATTATTCTCTCAAAACAATACAGTTCATCCTTTTGTATTTGCTTTAATCTAATTTGTCTCAATAGCCACCTGTTTCTAGCAAGTAATTCTGGCAATTTTTCATTTTAGGATAAGTTAGAATGATTATCTTAAGGTGTCATTCACATAGACAAAATTTGAAACATAATATTTCAAATTGCTACTCTACAACATAGTGGGAAATCTATTCGGGCTTTATTTAATTATTAATAGAAAGCGTTCCTTCTGCAGAACAACTGAGTTTTGCCACTGGTGTGGGTCAGACATTACCTTGTTCTTGGCAATTTCATTTTGCACACTGTGCACACTCAAAGCGTGCTTATCCATCTAGCTCAAATGTTGCCACCATGTTCCATACAGAAATTCACCCTTATTATATTCCAATCCAATGGTTTCTTTCTTTCTTTTTCTTTTTTTCTTTCTTTTTTTTTTTCCATAGGGGAAACACCTATCTAAGGAACATATCTTATTGATATTGCAAACACAGAGGAAGTTTCAGTGTATGATGCAATTTTAAAATAAATTTAAGTAACTACAAGTTCAGGTCTCTTGCTTAATAATACAGTGTAACACAGGGCTGCTGCAACTGGAAAAAAAGAATACAATTAAAAAATCTAGTTAATAATATTAATAAGACTATCATCTTCATGAAGTGCTATCATTGCCCAATCTTTTTCAGAACGTCTTTCCATGATGAAAGTTTTCACAGGAAATTTCCCCATGTTTCCAGCATAAACCAGTCATCAGCATCTTATAGACTTTTTAGCTTCTAGACTAAGCATTAGTTCTGCAGCTATCTCTACCTGCTTTGTTACAAGACTTCACAAAAAGAAAGGGAGGCATATAGCAAGAAATAACGTTATTCCTACTGACCTCAACCTACAACCTCACTTGAACAGCATGACAACGGAAAGTAAAAAAAGGACATTTAGGAATGTCCAACTTGAAATGTTAAGATGAAAATTTAACATTTTTAACATTGAGTCGTTTAGTGACTGAACAAGCTTTTCAGACCTAAATTAATACAAACCTTGCTTGTAAGTAAGCATCATAAAACTAAGAAAGGTGAAATGCTGCAACCAGCTTTTGACATTTGAAATCCATTTTAAACATTTAAGCTAATAATCCAATCTGTTCTTCAAAATTTATGTTGACATTTCTTTTTGCTCACCACATTTACTTCCCACTTGTAAGACTAGTAACAAGTACATTACATGCTAATAGATCTTGGGTCCAGCTTTGAAGTCCTGTGCTGTTTCCAAGTACTTCTAAAGTACACATTTAGGAGAAGGTATCATCAGACTAGAGTTAAATACTCTTCAATTATTTAATTAGAACTGTGAGTGCTTGGGGGCTCAGGGAGAAATGAAAACACTGCCTCTCTTACCACCTTTCTTTAACAGTTACTTAGCAACTAGTCATCTTTAATTTTTTTGTGAAAGACTATTTTCCATACATAGTACAGAGAATGCAATTCAGGGGTGCCCGCCAGTGAGATTATAGAATTTAGTGCAGCAAGCATTTTTTGTCATTTAAGAGAAAACAAGCGATATTAACCAGCGACTCTTATTTTCTTATGTTCTCTTTCTCACCTGTAGAAGTGAAGTTGCACTGACATCCCTCCAGCCTGCAGGAGGAAGGAACTGCTACACCTTGAGTTAATGACTATTGAGAGTCAGTAATATTGGCTTCTCTCTCAAGGCACAAAGAGTTTGCATTGCTATTCTTAGTGATTTGCATCCTTTTTGAGTTTCACCAATTAATAACTGTTCATTTTAAAAGTAATAATAAAAACATGATACTTTGCCTTAACAACTATTAGTTTCTGTACATACTTTACCTGTACATCATTGGCATTCATTCTTGTTCCTTCCTTCCCAACGAAGATGTCATCTATATCAACCAGAACGTACCTATCCAAGGACAGTTTGAGCTTCTTTCCAGACAGAAAAGAGATGGCATCTATGAAAATCAGCTTGTGCAGCCAAAAATTCAAGTTATTGCCAAAAAGGACTCGTTGTATCCCATCGTGGAGACCCAGGTCATGAATTACTGTGGCATGGAGAGCACTTTTAGCAGCAGGTGGCAAAAGGTTTTCTGGTGTCTTTACTTTTGCAAATATCACTGGTTGGTAAGCTGTATGATTAATCTGGAAAACTGCCCAATCATTTCCAAGCAAAGGACCTTTCTCAAGCTTAGAGGATTTAGTCACATGGAGCAGTGGGGAATAAGGGTTAATGCAACAGTCCTTAACACCCAGATTGCTATGGACATGAAAAGGAAAGCCCTTCAACTGAAAGCTCTGCAAGCTGTTCTCATTGCCTTTGTGAAATCCAATAACCCCTACGCCGTATTCTACGCAATACTTATCTAGAAGACCTCTGTTCCAAGAGTCCATATTCACATACTTTAGAATATTTTCGTACACTATGAGAGCATATTTGCCCTTATTTTTGTCTATAAGCACTGGGAGGTCACCTTTTCCCGATGCAATTTCAATGTGATACTGAAATCTGCTAGATTCTAAAACAGTTATTATATCTTGGCCTAATGTGGAATATTGACTTTCCACAAACACCAGCACTACAAGATCTGTCCTCAGTGGATCAATAGACTTCATGGTCTTCATCTCCATCAGCTTGTATGAAAACAGTGGAAGATCACCACATTCCACTTCTGAAGAGATTTCAGAAAGTTCATTTTCTTGTTTGTAGCCGTTGTACAAGTAGTATGCAGAAATAACAATGCTCACCGTACAAAAAGTGGCCAGCAAAATAACTGTTCTTTGAAAATGTCTATGAAGTTTCATGATAAAACTCATGTTGTTTACTTGTCTTAGATTGCCCTCAACAGCAGCATTAAAAATACACACAGATTCTCAACAACTTGCTCCAGTCCTCTTAAATATTTATGTCACCATTGCAGCACACACATTTATCTTCCACAAAGCTTTACAGAAGGTATAGTCTAGAAGAAAGAAAAGAAAATCAGAGTTTTAATTGAGGCACCACATTTGTGAAGTACTGTCACATTTGAATTAACGGATAACACAAATCACTGCTGAAGAAAGGTTTATCGGAAAACAGGAACTGTGATAGTTTCCTTCTGAAATTTTACATTAGCAGCATTACTTGTTCCTGCTCCCCATTATACCTAATTGTTTTATAAAAGACAACTGTCACTCTGCATTTTGTAGTATTGCAACACCACAATCTCTCTAAAGCACAAGTAAAGGAGCAGCTTGAAGAACCTCCACTTCAGTCTAACAAAAACGAAGCCTAACATTTCAAGAGCCAAAAGACCTAGTCCAAGTGCTGAGCAAAGATGACCAGCAGGCTTTCCTTCCAGAATTCCCACTGGTTACCATACCCACACGAAAATGTCTCTAAATCTCACACACTCCCTGCCCCAGAATATAATGTAAAACAGGGCATACTCAGGAGGCACTGAAATGCAAGATTATGGCAGCAAAGAACCTACTGTTTCTCGTTTCTTTCTTTTCAACCCCAAACCAAAAGAATTACGGATAAACAACTGCTGATAACACAAACATTGAGGAAATGTCATAACCTTTCTATGTCAAGGCCAAGAAACTAGGGGAACATTATTCTACGTGATTAAGTGTGTTCCATACTTCATTAATGCACTTCAGAATAAAGTTGGAGAGGCCATAACTCAACATGCAGACTTCACACACTCACGTGTGCTACATATTATATGTACAATAGGAGTACTTTTCAAACAAACCACAGTTCCTCCTGCAGCACTGAAATCATACAAATTATATTCCACATACTGTCCTTCTGCACATTGTTGGAAGGACTTTGTAATTCTTTATATTAAAAAAACATAGAATAAACCAGCTCTTAAATTTGAGAAAAGAGTAATATATCAACAGCTAACGTGGGAAGCAGATCACCCAGGCATATATTTATGCTCCAACTTGTACCTAAGGAACACAGTCATTTTCTAAGCCATCAGTACAACTGCTCTCAAATTTTCTAATAATACACATGAAAGGTATAACAAGTATAAAATATTTAACTATTGGAATTACAAAGGAAGGTCAGCAGTAGATTGAAGAATATTACAAATAAAGAACATGCTACTTTAACTTCACAATATAGTACATAATCTGTATATAATCTGTAAATGGCAATAAGATAAACTACATGTGTAACATTAACACAGTCATTTCCTGAGTGCTTAATCCCTACATACTGAGCTAAAAATAAAAAATAAAAAGCAGGGTTGAAAAAAGGAGTATTGTCTGTATCGAATGTGAACTTTTCTATACAGACTGATAGAGGCAGTGCTCTTCTCAACTCCTATTCTACTTTCCATAGATAGCATCTCATCAACCCTCCCTGCTCTCAGTGGACTTGCACCTGGCCTTGAATTTCTGAAGAGGCCAAAAGAGACCTGAAGCTGGACAAAACCTCAGATATAGCTTTTAGACAAGGGATTCTCCTTTTTACTCACGTTACAGGCACGTTATTCAGCGTTAACCAAAAGTAACATAATTTGTGCCTGTAGAAACTGGAGGCATTTATTTGCAAATAAGTTTAAGAATGGACAGATATTCAATGTAAATCTGAAAGTACCTTTAGAAGATCTCAAATATTTTAAGTATTGAGATATTTGATCTTTGTCACACTACCTTCAAGTGCATTGCCTTAGACAGCAGAAAAGATAAACTGGTAGGAAGGCAGATGATAAACTAGAAGCTTCGTTTTACTTGAATGAGTAAAACTAGATTTTTAAGGCATGTTTCCAGACAGATGATTTTCTGTTACGAGCACAAAGGATTCTCAGTGAAAACAGCCTTCATTTTGCATTTCCAATGCAGCTGACTGGCTGCCAAGAAACTCATAATTTTAGTGGCCAAAATGAATGCTTACTGCATTCTGAGGAATAATTATACACATGGCTGCCTTTCTTCAAAAAACCACACACCCTGTCTTACTCAGCCTTACAAAGAGCTTCAGGTCCGGTTAACGAGTAGAGAGACATGAACCTGCAAAGCGGAACTCTAACTGACCAAAGTACCACTGCTTCCCTGAGTGGCAGTCAGACACCATTCAACATACTGCTTGAGGCTTGCTTGCTGCTTCTTCCCCAAGCTGCTCTGACAGAGCCCTGAAGTACTCCTATTTTTATGACAGGAACCCCATTCAAGTCAGATGAGCTAGAAGCTCCCAGCAGTGTGATTTTGATGTCTCACTCTTCACCAGCTTCAGCTCCTATCTTGCCACCTGAATGTGATAATACTGAAGGAATTTTTCCTGGAGCAGGAAAAAAATCAGAGTGACCCAAATTCATGGCAAGAAAGGGCTGACTGGGTGCAGCAGCTGTAGGCACAGATGTTTGAACAGGATATTACAGAAGGGTTGCAACTCAAGAGCCAATAAAGGAAGAAGCAGAAGCACTTGAAATATTTGCAGCAAAGATGTCCTAAGGTGGTTCCATGGAGCAGAAAATCTGGAGCCAGCCTAGAGAGCTGTGTTTTTCTACAAGAAAGCCCATGCCATTTTATTCTTAGCTCCTAACTGCAGGTACCTCCTGAGGTACAGAGTGCAGCTGCTAGAAGGAGTGGGTAGAAACACTAAGATAGATGTAAGGCTTCACACTGACGAAATCTCTGAGACCCAGCAGGACCACAGCCAGACCTGGCATCCTCACCACTGAAAAGAGGAAGGAAGAGGAATGAACAGAATAAGACAAGTTTTAAATGCATGTTCTCTTGAATCAGCTTGATGCTTATGTAACATTTTGCTTATTTAAAGATTGCTTTGCGTGGCAAGAGTTCAAAAGAACACAGAAAAAAAAAGGAACATACATTTAATAATATCAGAACAGTTTCAAAGCCTTGACAAGTTACAGCTGTTTTCATACAGGAACAGACTAATTTTACTCTGAACAATACTATTTGCTAAATATACTGGATTCTTACAGCCTAAAACATCATGCACTGGCTGTGACAGAGGTACGAAGACCTCCTCGGTGCGTCACACACCCCATACTGTACAACTTACCACGACTTCGGTGAACTTGGTCACAGCCTGAGACACAGCTTTAGGACAAATGGTTCTTCTGCACGATTACTGCCAACAGCACACACCGACAGAGGGCACTGTTTAGAACATACCAGCCCCAAAGAAGCTCTCTGAAGTGGCACTTCAGAACAGGGCTGCCCTTACGGAATCTTATTTTCACAAGAAAATAATATAATATTTAATAAAAGAATGAAGAAGTCATGACAGCTTGATCTCCAATATTTTCAAATTATTTTTTTGACTTCTTACATACTTGTGCATTTTTTATGCCATCTTCTGAAAATTGAGACCGTGGCTTTTATTTACTTTGCCCCAGGCATTCGATATCAAAATATCACCTTAGTGTGAAGATTAGTGATAGAAATTACTTGAAAATACGTCTAAAATTTAGAAGTTTCTTTTTAACTTGTGGACTCGCTATGCATGACGAGATCTTCCTGTGAGAAAGCTGAGTCATGGAAAGAAATTTTGCATTTTATTCTCAATGCAGCAAAGCTCAATATCACTCTCTTCTACTGCAGAAGTGATTTCTGCAGCATCAGATGAGTTCTCACCAAAATCTTATGGGGAAAGGAAACAAATATCACCTTATTAACTAGATTTACAATTGTCACACATGCTGCTGGGCAGTTACAGTCGTTGGGTACCTTCTGCCAGCCAGAATGAAAGAGAGGTATTAGAATACAGATTTTGCACTTCATGTTTTCCCTTTTCTCCAAATTCACTAATAAGATAAAACTGATGACAGAACAAACACCGTGATGAAGCCACATGGCTCTGGTGAGTTCCTACCATTTGTAGCTGTCTGGAGTTTATCACTCTGCTAACTACAAATGACTGCAATCCTGGCTCCTATAAATCATTTCAGCACAATGACCCTATTGCAAATATTCGAGGCAAAGCTGGCTGGGGATTTCACCTATTAATGAGGTGTAGAGGTGTTCTCTAGTGAGCACAGAGAGCACAAAATCAGATAGCGTTTTTATTTATTTATTTCCCAGCAGTAAAACTAACATAATACGAAAGCAACTTCACCAAAGACTTTGCGCTTGGTGAGGAGCCCCATTCTCAGGATCAGACTGATGCACAGAGTGTGAGGACCTGTGCTGTGTGAGTGCCATAGCAACACTGTGAACACCGTGCCCTCACTGGCAGATTTCTGCACTACGACTTCCACAGCATGCCCAGCACACACTGCAGCACGGGCTTTGTACGACTGCCTTGTCTGCACAGCAAAAACAGCCTGTTTTCTGGACTAAGGAGCTCTAAAGAAACATAGTTCTTGCCGTCCTACTACAGGTATCCACATAAAGACAAACACGGAAAACTGCTTTAAGTCTTTTACTTCAAATATTCATCTGTTGAAGTTGTGTCATGAATATCAATATGACTTAAAACTAAGAGAAACGTGCCTCATCTCAGTATATTTAAAACTATCAAGATTAATAGGCTAAGCAAAAATAACCAAAAGCAAAAGAGAAAATGCTCTCAATTTAAGTTTTTTAAAGCCCAATATGAAAATCTGATTTAATTTTACCTCAGACCCATGCGAAGGCAACTATATATTGTGACCTCTGCTTAGGAGCAACGAAGTTGTGTCACATTTATATACAAAGGTAAAACAAAAACCCTCACAAACTGTTTCAGGGTAAAGAAAATCCTCCCAATCACAAAGCGCTGTGAGTTCAGGATTCATTAGCCAACAGTTTTGTTCAGTTATTACATCTGTTTGCTTTGCAATACCTATACATATTTTTCCATCTGCCTCCTGTGATAACCCTCATCGTTACGTTCTGTGCCTGTTCTTTACCAAACTGGCTGCTCAGCAGCAGTAACAACACGCTCCTCATGGCTTGAATGAGGGATGAGTCCTACATCAAGAACAGGCATATTGTTCAGCACATTGATATGGGCATTCCAGCTTATGGTGATTAGAACGCTCTTTAATTGCTTTGAGCAGAAAATCCTGCTTTGGACAGCTACTACAAAATATAACCTTCAGGAAACATTCTCACTCACTGTATCACTGTTACTAAAATATAATTCTTGGATATAAGATTGACAGACAAAAAGCAGAAAAGGGCATTGGAAATAACCCCATCTGGCATGGGCACTAGTGCTCAGATTTTTAAAGACCAATTATGAAAATATGAAACTGGTCTCCACATACCAAAGTACCTGTACTTCACTCTACTGACTTTAGTATTCAAGCAGCAATAACTCAGAAGTTAAGCACAATAACCTCGTAAGCAGGTTGAGAATGAGGTCTTATGATTGGATATTAAGGAGCCATTTTCAGCTGGAAAAGATGGTGCTATGAGACACAAACAGCCCAGGGAAGGCATCGAGACTCTTCTGTATTGCCTAACAAAGCTTGTAAGCCCTCCAATACTCAGGTAAAGCACATTTCTCAGGTATCTTTAAACAAACAAACAAAAAATCCCAAACCAAACAAAAAAGCAGAACAAACATTCTGGCAGATAGACACGCTTTTTTTGAGTTCTTGGTGCAAGCAGTTTTCAGCTGCTATCATATCTCAGCTATCCTTACCTCGATGCTGCACTGCCGTATGCAGTGCCACAGAACCTGACAGGGCAGGAACTCACGCATCAGAATTTGTTAATAAAGAAGTATTTTAAAATAACAACTATTCAGTATTTAAGAGAGAGACTTCCATACAGTGCAAAAGTCAGTTTTGCTCTTCAAATTGCTACTTTATCTCCATACAAGACTTTCTGCCAGCACATCTTAGAACACCTTATGTCTCATGCCGTTTTTCTAAGACAAAACCTGTTTCCAGCAAGCAGACGAACGTTACAAAGTAGGAACGTCACGACCTGCCCGCGAACTGCCCCTAAGGCCAACGCGTGGCACGTCCCCTCGTCCCCGCCCGTCCCACTCTCGCCGTTTCCCCGCAGCGGGCGGTGTGACAGCGCAACGGCAGGGCTCGCTTCCCGCCCCGACACCCGAGGAGAATGCCGACGGCCAAAAGAACGCCGTCTTCTCCGCTTGCCGTTTTCATAAAGAAAAAGGCAAAGCCACACGAACCAATCAAGAAATCAACCCAGAAAACGAAGTTACCGAGCGAAAAGTAGCGAATGAAAACGCAAAAGACTTTTCTGCCATTTCCCAAAGGCCTCGTGTTGCTGTGTACTTACGGTCGGATCGGCCGCAATGTCCTCACGGGACTTTGGGAATTCCAGCAGCTGTCACCACCTGAAGTCATTAACGGCTTCTTCCCGGCGACGACCGAGTTTGCCGCCCGGCCGGCCGCCCGCAGACACCAGAGGGCAACAGCGTCGCACAGAAGCAGCCGGGGATACGGGAGGAAAAAAAAAAACAAAAACGAACGCGGCGGAAGGGCCGCGCTGGGTACCACAGCCGGCACGCAGATGCCTAGGGACGGAGCGACCCGAAGCCGCCCGGGAGGCGCCGAGGCACCCCAGCGCCGGGCGGGCTGCCCCGGGCGGCACCGCACAACTTTTCGGGGAGCGGCGGGGCTCTGAAAGGAAGCAGCAACCGCGCACCGCCCGCAGCCTGGAGCCGGGGGTTCCAGTCCCGCCGGAGGAGACGCACGCCGCGGCCGTTACCTCCAGCCGCGCTCCGCCGCCATGCCGCCGCCCCGGGACTCGCCTGCGGGCTCCGTTCCTCTCCGCTCCTCCGCTCTCTGCCGCCGTTCCCGTCCCCGCGGCGGGCGTGGGGAGCTGCCGGCTCCGCCGGGCTGCGCCCGGCCGCGGGGAGAGCGGCACCGCCCCGACCGCCGCCCGCCCGCGGGGAGGTGCGGCGGGGCTGAGCCGCCCGGGGGTGCGAGCGCCGGGCGGGGCCGCCGCCGCCGCCCCTCCTCAGCCTCGCCCTCCGGAGGAGGGGCCGCGCTCCGCGCTCACCGGCGAAGGGCGGGTTGTCCGCCGGCCGCCCGCGGGCCGCTGCCTCGCGCCTCCGTCCCGTCGGGGCCCGCGGCCGCCCGCGTGCCTGCGAGGCGCCGTGCGAGAGCTCCGTGCCGGACCCGGCGCTGGAGGGAAGGGCTGGGCGGAACAAGCCCTGCTGTCGCTCCGTCTGCCCTGAGAGAGCCGCGGGACTGCGGGCCGCCGGCACCTGCCGCACCTCGGTCGCCGGGCGGAGCCGGCGTGACCCCGAGCAAAACACCAGCAAAGTCTCTCGGAGTTTCTTCCGTACTAAATGAAGTGTGGGTGTTTGCTTCCATAGCGAAGGCACGCAGCTTACCGCCGGCTGCACGGCATATAGAAGGGGATGAACGAGAACACGGTATATGGCCTGCAGTACCGCGCCCCGATTCTTCTGAGGACATTCTGGAGGCGTGTGTTTGGGCATAAGTGAAATCAGATCTGTGACTGTAACTAAAATGCATCTTTGGTCAGTACTTAATTTGCATTCTCTGCTGTTCAAATTGTAGATTTAGCCCCTTCTCTCAAAATTTAACTCCAAATGATTTGGTTTTTTTCTGCAGGTTTGGGACAGAGTCATCTTCTGCTTTGTTATAGGTGCGGTGCAAAATCTTGTGAATTCTGTAAGGACAACTATTTTTTCTGAAGACAAAGAATACTGGGCCACGCGTTTGCAGCCTCAGCCCCATCCGTGCAGATCTCATCCCTGAGCCTGTCCCGTTGCTGTGGGTTTCCCATCTGCACAATAGCACTGGCTTCTGGATATTGCAAGTAAAATGTATTAATGTTACATGTACCCTCTTGATCTAAGTAATTCATTATCATGTGGTGGCTGTTGGCTCACCTAACAGCTGATGAGTCAATGCACTGCATTAACTCAATCACAGCAGTTGTCTGCCCTAGTCTGTCTCATTATGACTCCAGACAGAAACTGCAAGGAAAAGAGCCAAAGTCTTGTGAAGATTCCTTCTCCAGACATCAGCAGAATTTACAGTTCTTGATTCAGAGAGATGGTGATTAACTGCTTTCTCCTGTTCTTTCTCCTCTTTATTCTTGTGACACGCCATAAAGGGACAAATTCTAATGTCTTCTAAACATCAGAAGTTTGCGAAGCCAGAGTTTCAATTAAAATTTCCATTACACTGAAAGCACACACACACACACACACACACAAAAAGGAGATGATCTAATCCCTTATTGCTCTTGCTTTAACAAACAATGTAAAGTCCCAGGCCCTTATGTGCAGAGGATTGCTTATATGCACGAGAGCTTACTCTGCACAAGATTATTAATCCACAGAACAGTGTCCGTCCAAAATCCTATTGCCCTCTCCATATTCCACAAAGGGATTTTCTCTCACATTAAGATTCGCTACAGTGTGAATATCCGGACACAGTCTTGTCTGGAGACTTCCCTATTATGAAGGATTTTTCCTACAATGTGCAGTGAGGTATAAGGTGGAAGATAGCCAGAAATGACTGAAATTCTTGGATGTAACTTCAAACTCACAAATGCGTACCAATTCCCTCCAACTATTCTGAGTAGCTGGTGCTGTTTTCAAGTTAGCTTTAAGTTTTTTAAGTTAGCGCTGGCCAACATGGATGGAGGAGTGTTACATAGGGCTTGTCCTCATAAGCACCTGGATGCTCACAGGGATGTGCTAGACATTTCCCAGATGAGGGCTTTGGCACTGCAAGTCAGCAACTGTAGCACAGAGCACTTCTGGCAGGAATATTAATAGCTTCCTTCTTGGTGCTGCTTTCAGTTTTTGCTCTTGAGCTGTCATTGCAGTGTGAACTGGGCATGACGTCGTAGCCACTCTTTCAGGAATACATCTTTAATACGATGCTGAGTATGCTTCTGGCCAAGTTTTCTGCCCAGCTCCAAGTTCCTCACAAACAAAACTGTAAAGTGATGTTGCATTACCATGGAGTGCTACTTCAAACAGCATCATCATAGCAGTATGTAAGGATCTGAGGTCATGCCTGATGTGCATCACTCCAGAACTGAACAGTGCATGCAAGTGACTGAGTAGCTAATTCAGACAAGAAGATGGCTGGGAGAGAAACAGATGAGCACCTGAACTGTACACCAAAAAGAGGTGTATTCAGACATGCTAGTCTGTGCTGAATACCTGTGCCTTGAACTAAGGCAAGCTCTGTGCTGCTGTTACCAATGCAAGAGACTGTATTCTGGCTCACAAACATACATACTAACTTGTGTCTGTATGCAGCAAGGAATAGACATTGAAGCAAGCTCCTCTGTTCCATGCCTCAGAGAATCTGCCAAGTGAAATACCTACCTCATTTTGGATTATTGTTCCAAACCAATTGTAGCATTCAAGATGCTAGGATCTAGACCAACACTACAGATCACAGAATGGCTGAGGTTGGAGGAGACATCTGATCCAACTCCAGCAGGGCCACACAGAGCAAAGTGCTAAAGCTCATGTCCAGTTAGCTTCTGAGTATCTCCCAAGAAGAGACTCCACAGTCTCTCTGGGCAGCCTGTGCCAGAGTACTGGCACTTGCACAAGAAAAAAATGTTTTCTGATGTTCAGAGGAAACAGGTGGTTTGTGCCACCTGCCTCTTGTCCTGGCCCTGGGCACAGGTGTAGAGTCTGTCTCTGTATTATTTGCACTCTTCCTTCAGGTATTTATACACAATGAGAAATGCTCCCATAAGCCTTCCCATCTGTAGGCTGAAGAGTTCTGGTTCTCTCAGCCTTTCCTCACAGGAAAGATTCTCTAATTTTTTCACTGTTTTTTTGGCCCTTCATTGGACTCTGCCCAGTATGTCCATATCTCTCTTGTACTATATGGGGAGCCCATAACTGGATTCAGCACTTAAGTGTGACCTCACCAGTGCCAAGTAGATGGGAAGGATCACCTCCCTTGGTCTGGTGGCAATACTTTCTGTAATGCAGCACAGGATATCATTAGCCTTCTTTGCAGGAAGACCATGTTGCTAGCCCATATTTAGCCTGAATCCCATGAGGACCCCCAGGTCCTTCCATGCAAAACTGTGGTCTGGCTCCTACAAGTGTCCCTGGTGTGCCCTCTTCCCCACACAGAACTTTGCACTTCTCCGTGTTGACCTAAAGGGGGTTCCTGTCAGCTCATCTCTCAGCTGAACGAGCAGATGAGGTCACTGCAGACATACCATATGCATTAAACTATGAATTCCCATGTACTCCATGAATGGGTGCCTTCAATATATACAAACACAGTTAATTCAACATGAATTAACTGAACTCAGGAAAAATAAAATGCTTTGTACATGCAACTCTTCAGTCTCCCACTGAACTAAGCATATAAATGCTTTTCAGTATTTGGCTTTTAATCCTTAGTCTGAATATCTGCCCTGTTTCTGATAAATTGACCATTTTCAAGCTGATTACTTTGAAAATTATACCTTAATTAATTCCTATCTATACAAATTGCATCATGTTCTGGCAGCACTGTGGACTACTTATGTCCTAATACGTATACTTAGATATATGGGCACGCTTCCACAGACAAGGAAATTGGTCATTCCAATCACACACACTTTTCTTTTAATATTATGGTAGGAGATAAAAATAATTTAAAAATGTATTTGAGGAATTCCAGCAAAAGTCCCATCTCAGTTTGGCTTTTTAGTTATCTCAGTTTGGGTTTTTAGTCATCTCCTAAGAAGCAACAAAAAACTTAAAAAAGAGTTGGCCTACCATCTCTAGTGATATCCTCAGCTTTTTGACTTACTGCTGTCCTCTACGCAGATGCTCTCAGTCACATTTTTCTTCAAAATAAAATCTTCCCACAGTGCTTCCTCTTCTATAATCAGAAATATTTCTTTCTTCCTTTCTTTCTCAGAGAACTGAGCCCTATCTTGTCTGGTGGTCTTACTCTCAGAAATGATTCTGACAATTGGATGATTCTAACTCTGCAAAAGAACTCCTGATCCCTCTGAGTCCTGCTGATATCAGTGGAAAATGTGTGTTTGTTACAGTGGCCATTACTACAACTCCCACCACAAATTCGTATTTATAAGATAGGCAGAATGATTACTTTGGCCATCATTTCATAAGCCAGAGAAAGATTATTAGTTGAGGAGTTATATATAGTAAAAACAGTTTTCAATTAATAAAAAAACATTTTATCCAGTCTTGTCATTTCAAAGATTCAATACATCTTTTAGCCAAACATTAATTATTGATTGTGTTATTTTTGTTTGCGAGATATCTGGAGATATCTGCAAGATATCTGAAAAGAAAAACCACCCAGGTAATTGTCTGTTATTAGGTTTTTTTTTGTGTGTGTGTGTGTGTGTGTGTGTGTGTGTGCGCTCTTATGAGTTCTACTAGCCAAAATGTAACTCTGGATTCATAATGCTCATTGGATTCATCAGAAACTAGAAACAAATTTAATAAATACACAATCTTAACAATACTTAAGCTATTTATTTTTAAATACTATGCAAATATTAAAGAGTCCTTAAAGGGTGTTTTTGTCTTGGGCACTGATATTGGTATTGCTGTACTCATCTGACACAGAAGATTAGGCCATGAAATTATCCAAGATCAGGTGGTGACTCATGAAGGTTATGATTAGAAGTCAGAAGTTCTTGACTCAGGGCTGAGTTCAGATCACTAAATCTTATCACGCTGCTTTATAATAGATATCTGAAGCCAGCAAATGGCTGTTAAAATGTTAAAATGAAAAGACCTAATTTCTCCCCTTAATGAAACTGGAAAAGGCTTTGTTTGCAAGTTGTATCCATATAATGAAA